GCGGAAGGCCTCCCCACCGCGGAAGGCCTCCCCACCGCGGAAGGCCTCCCCACCGCGGAAGGCCTCCCCACCGCGGAAGGCCTCCCCACCGCGGAAGGCCTCCCCCCCGATACCAGCATAGGTGCCCCCCTACCTACGACCTGTGCTCTCTCACCTGCGGAAGGCCCATTCCCTTGGCCCATGTACCCTGGTGGGGGCATTGGAGGCATGACCAGGTTGAACGGAATGGGGATGTTCATGGCAGCCACAGGGCTGGGGCCTGCTCCGATCATGCCGATCTGGTCATGGGTTTGGAAGTACATGTTCGACGGACGGCCTGGAAACACACATATACACAGGGATGCACTGAGCGGGACGACAGCCGGCAGAGATGTAGGCTGTGAATGAGGAAGGCAGAGAGCGACAGTCACCGGTGCTGCTGCGGTCGTAGACAGAGCCAGGGATGAGAGCTTCTCTGGCGTCATACATGGCGGTGCTCATGAAACGGGCACCCTACACAAAAACATCCGTCATGTCATGCTCAGACTGCAAACACAAGCCTAGGTAACCCATTTCAAAAGCAGGGAAACCAAGATAGTGAAACATAGGGGAGAGATCTGCAGATCCCAACAGAGAACGCCGCAGAGCAGGGGATGCGTGGGCGGCCCAGCCGCACTCACCGGGTTGATGGTGTTGACCAGCTTGCGGGGCTTACTGAACTGCATGAGGCTCTCACGCAGGTTATTGAGAGGACCCTCTACCAGCACCTTTTGCTCTTTGTAGTAGTTCAGCAGGTGGTTCCACAGCGGCTGCTTGGACAGGGCTTTGGGGTTCCCCACGATAATCACGCCGTATCTGAGCAGACAGGTCGGAACACCAAACATTCACTGAGTGCAGAATTATTATTAGGCGAGCACAATTCCTGGAGATCAATTTAATAAGTTTAAGCTAAAAATTCAGGTCAATCACCTTTTAAGCCTTCTTTGGCCAATCTATAGAATACATTGATGCATGGGAGGGGGCACCGTCCCGCGCCAACGTCACGGGGAGGGGGCACATTCCCGCGCCAACGTCACGGGGAGGGGGCACCGTCCCGCGCCAACGTCACGGGGAGGGGGCACCGTCCCGCGCCAACGTCACGGGGAGGGGGCACCGTCCCACGCCAACATAGAAACTGACAGAGGATTTTGGGGCTAATTTTCACTCCTCTACCATCTTGATGGGGTGTGAAGGTATCCACCCACTGGGCCGTCCATCGGCTCCATCGAGAGTCACTCATCTGTCCACAAGACCTTTGTAAAATGGGCCTTCAGATGTGTCCATGCCTATTCTTGATGTTGTAGCTCGTGTGCCTTATTGAGTGGAGGTCGTGTTTCAGCCTTTGTGACCTTAGCAATGTCATGCAGGACACTGCACCTAGTCCTACCGGAGATTACCTTCAGGTTGAAGTTTTGAAAAATCATCTCTGCACGCTTTTTCCATATTCGTTGGCTGCTAGCCACAAGACACTCGACTACTGTAATTTGGTAATTTCAATCGTCTAGTATCATTCTGACGATACTTTACTATTTGTTAGTTCCGCTCTCCATAAGCTCCTATTTAGCCCATTTTAATAGTAATAATAATTTGATAATTCGGCACAGGGCCTTACATTTCAGCAGTGATCTCAGGGCTAATCTGAGCTCCTCTGCCATTACTCTTCCTTAAATGTATCTGACCCCATTAAACATATCTTGGTCGCTGAGCTCTTCGCTGTAGAGGGTTCCTGTGTATCCCTTTTATCTCTGCTTGCTCTTTGTTCCGTTGGATGTTCTTTGCCACTGATGTCCTTCAGCAGGCCCACTCAAGGTTATAACTTCTCCATGTTTATTTCCTTCTTAATTAGTTCAAGATGTAATATTAAGATGTAATATTTTTCTCTGTCTGGTGACTTAACCTATTAAGTAATTCAGATTTTAAGGTTCCCCTCTTTCAGATGACCGCACCTTGAAGCATACCACGGGCGCCAATTTGTGAAAACATACATTCTTCACCCGAGATTGAAAACTGTATTCAAGCACGTTCACTGAATAATTTAAAGTGTAAATCATCATCTACCTGAGAACCGTCAAACTAACAGCAACAGCCAAAAGAGAACTCTGGTTAATCACCAGCGGAGCTATGAGGCTGCTTACCTGGCCCTGGTGAGAGCCACGTTCAGGCGCCGAGGGTCATTCAGAAACCCAATTCCCTGGTGCTCATTGGCTCTGACGCAGGACAGGATGATGAAGTCTTTCTCTCTGCCTTGGAAGGCATCAACGCTAGCAATTTCCACTTCCTAATGAGGAGTGTCAACATACACACACACAGATGTTAATTTCAAGTTCCTATAATCAAGGGAGTAATGTTTTTCGGTTGGAGGTATTTCAGACAACTTTCATGCACATTAAAACACTACGAGCTGTGGTGGTGCAGAACCTACCTGGTACAGCTTGGTGTGCAGAGAGCCACTGAACTGCATGTACTGCACCAGGTAGGAGCGCTGGCCCTCGTAGGGCGTGATGATGCCGATCTGGTCGGGTTTAGCCCCAGCCTTCAGCAGCTTGGTGGTGATCTTCTCCACGTTGGCAGCTTCAGTCCTGTAGAGGAAGACACAGGTGATGGTGACACAAGGCCAACACCGGTCTCAGGCGCTGCCTTGAGCCGTCGGGGGGGTGCACACCTGTTCAGGTAGGAAGTTCCCGAGCTGGCGATTTCCTCCTGCCCTTGGGTCACGTAGAAAAACATGGGCTTGTCCGGCTGGGGCCACTGGAAGTCAAACCCTTTCTTGACACGATCAGCTGGGCGAAAGTGTGGGGGAAACACAACATGTCCAAGCTGCCAGTTTACACAATTGCAGTGTGGAGAATTGTAAAAATAATTTAAAAAGGAACATACCCGCAGTGACCCCGTTTTGCAGGGAACCTTCGTAGAAGATGTTGGAGGGGAATGCGCTGAGAGCTGGGTGCATGCGGTACTGCACCTGCAGGCGGATGGGCCGGATCCCCAAGACCACCAGGCGCTCAAAGAGGGACTGGGAGAGCCCAGCTTTGGCCGCCTTCTTACACATGACCACCGGCCCCAGCTGACAGTGGTCTCCCACGAGGATGAGCTGAGGGGCGGAGCACACATCACACACATCAATCATAGTAGCCCCCCCAGGAAGAGTTATTACAGAACACGTCGTACTGTAATAATACCAATCAACCTGCCCTCAATGACGCGGACAACGTGCTTTATATATACACACCATTTAGGACTAAATTCTGAGCAATGGGCTGAAGAGTTGAGAGAGAACAAGGGGGGGGGGGGGCGCCTTACCTGCTTGGCCCCCAGCACCACTGGCACCATGCACTCGGGCTCCGTAGCCTGGGTGCTCTCGTCAATCAGGATGGAGCGGAACTGCATCTTGGCCAGACGCGGGTCGCCGGCTCCCACGCATGTGCAGCAGATAACATCCGCATTCTGTGTCGGCCGGGGGGATTTAAAACACGCCGTTTAAAACAAAAACACAGACTGCGGCCCTTTCAGAAAATGGAGGCCCTGACAGAACCCCATACCATGAGTAACTCCCGCTCGGCTGTGCGCTTCAGCGCCCGATACCGCTTCTCGTCCGCAGAGGAAAGTTCCCCGGTCTCGTCCTTCAACTGCTGGAGTTTCTGAAGCTCCGGCATGCTAAGAATAAGGAAGCTACCGTTCAGAACACAACTCGCAACAAGCAGGACTTACATCCCTGGCACCACAAAGCCCATGGGGGTGGAGGGTACAGAGATATTTATAACAATATCAAGCCTGAAAAGTGAAACGGTTCTGACGAGGCAGTCAATTCTAGAGATTATTTAAGAATAGTGCACAAATGTAACAGAATACACAGATCATACGATACGCATATCCAGACTGCAACACACACACTGACATGCCTTGACATTTACAGACGAGCGAAAAACAACAAGCTAAGAAATGATACAGCTATAAATGGGATCTTTGGATCCACCTCAGCGGCCGCTTTGGCTGCTGGGTACCACCCAGCCAGCACCGGGCAGGAGCCGCCGAGGGCACACAGACCACACAGAGAATCAGACGCTGTCTGCATCTCCTCGTACCTGTCCATGTTGCGGATCTGGTTATGCAGGGCCAGGAAGGACACTGGCGAGTCGATGGCCTCCCGGCTCTTAGCGCAGAGCCTCACCACTTTCAGGCCTGTCTGGTGGATCTTCTCGGTCAGCTGGTCAACGGCGATGTTGCTGGGAGCGCAGACCAACACGGGCCTGAAGATTCAGACAGAGTCAGCGTCAAAGGCTGCCGGGTGAGACGCGCCGCTCAGGCCGCTGACTGCCCCCGAGACGTCATACCCATTGCCCTGTCTGGCCAGGTGGTAGACGATGGTGGCGGAGGTCACTGTCTTCCCGGTGCCAGGGGGACCCTGGATGAGGCTGAGAGGCCGCTGCAGAACAGTCTTCACAGCATATACCTGACATGGGTAATGGGAACGTGTTCATCTCTCACGTCACGGCACAGAAAAGTGTGTGTTTGATGATAGAAAGGCGTTAAGACGAAGGCTGCACACAGACCTGCGAGTGGTTGAGGTCAGGCAGGCCCTGGGCAGTGAAGCGCTTGGGGAGCTGACACTTAATGATGACATCCTCCACCTCGTGTCCCAAGAGCTTGTGGTAGATATACCCTGAGACAGAGGTCTCGTCCACCGCGAAGGTCTTCAATGCACTCTGCATTCTACACAACGGAAGCCAGGATACTGCTGAAACATGGCCTAGAGATGGACACATGGCTGACTGGCACAAGGGGGCGCTCTCTCACCTGTCAAAGGATGTGGACTTCCACACAAAATCCACCTGGAAATTGTGTGGTACTTCCACGGGGGCACCGACGCTGCTCCGCAACTCGATGGCAATCTCATCTCCGTAGTCTAAAGCACCGCTTAAGGAATATCTACTTACCAGCATACAACACAGCAAAATATCAGTGTGGTCCCACATCTGGTTTAACTAAACAATCCCTGTGCAATTCTGGAGGTAAAAGGATACTGTCTGGGACTTTAATGACATGCCCAATGCCCTTCCAGAGGGGGGCCAAGTCTCCTTTGTACCGCAGGCAGATCTCATCTCCCTGCATCAGACGCATATCTGTTTAAAACAGGAAAGAAACGCTGTGAAGTGGGAAACATGAACGACATCCAAGAGTATATCAGCAACTCCAACACACACAGCACGGCCACAGGAATGAGTGGAGGCATGCATATTCCATAGGGATGGTACTTGAAGACAGAGCAAGCTTTAAAATATTACCACCTGAATCCGTCTTGGGAAGCGTGAAATAAGCAATGCGCTTTTTATTCAAACCGAGGTCCCAACGGACCGTTATGTTGTCTTGAGTCTGTGGAAAATTAAGACACAGGTTTTTAGGTTTTTGTTTTTTCTCCCCATCTTTTGAAAGCAAACACCATCAGGTTATGCAGATGATGTCATGGCAGGCTGCACAGTCCCTCCGCTGAGGGGGGGGGGCACATACCTGAGACTCTTTCAGCTTTTTGTCATAGTCAGCCTCGAGCTTGACAAGAGGCCCAAAAATGTTCTGGTACTGGTAGGCATCTTCATAGCGCAGCAGCACGTGCTGCGGCTCCTCGTCCACGCCAGGCTTCTCCAGGTCCTCCAAGGTGGCTGTGGGGTTTTCCTGCAGGAATCAGGAGAAACAGCACGAGCGGTTAATGACTGGTCACCGCGGGCGAGCGGCGCACACACACACACACACGTGACCCGGATACGCTGGCGGCACCTTCCACAGCTCCTCCAACTTGTTGATCTGCTGAGCTGTGATCTGCCGGGCACGCAGCTGTTCCTGCTCGGAGGGGATCTTCACCAGCCATGACAGGAAGCAGCGGTCCTGGATCAGCGGCTGCCACTGGGAGCTGTCCCAGTTGATGTCCTTTAGGCTGCTCTGGCTGGCACAAGGCTGCCTGGGGGGGTTAAGGGACATGGGCACACACACGCGCGCGCACACACACACGCGCACGCACACACACGCGCGCACACACACACACACACACACACAGAACATGCAGATATTTAAGAGCCATCTCCAGCCAATTTACAACAGCACACAATCAAGATCCAATTACATTCAAAAATTCACAAAAGTAGAAAGGACAACATTTTAATTGCTATAAGCAAGGTGAAAAACACAACAAGGTACACATTCAATCAAATCAATCATAACCGCATTTACTATTTTTTGGCAGAAATAGCACAGTAATTTGAAAGGTTTCTAATATTCCTTGTGTTAAGTGTTTTCTAAAAAAAACCAGGACAGCAGGCAAGTTCCATCTCTTAAAATGCTTCATACGTACAATAACCATCCCCAAAAGCTGCCAGCTGCCCCCAACACCGTTGTAGAGACCGCAAACTCAAAATGTAAAAATTAAATTTCAATAAAAATCTAAGGTGCTTAAGCCTGTCAAATTAACTGACGAGGTTTGACTGGTAAATCCATCCATTAATATTCTACACCTGCTTTTCCTATTCAGGGTCATGGAGGGTCTGGAACCTACCCCGGAGGCTACGGGTGCGAGGCAGGGAACAACCCAGGATAGGGCGCCAACCCATCAAAGGGCTCACACACCATTCAGACACACATGCACACCTCAGCATGTTTTTGGACTTCGGAGGGAGAGCGGAGTAGCCAGAGGAAACCACATGACGACAGGGGGGAGAACAAGCATGTAGAGGCAGGGTGTGAGAAGCAGCCAATCTAGTCACTAGGCCAACATGTTTGGAAAAATTAAAGGACTTCTATTGTCAAATAGTGGAGTATTGAATTACCACAGAAAAATCTCTTTATCAACACACTATAAATCCCATAAGTAAAACCATCCTTTGAGATTAACAAATCATTAGTCACTAGCCAATAGGGACAGGAGATTATTTTTTGCATGATTACAGTTCTACATTATGCAACTAAAAATTTTCATGCTGAGATTCATTCAAATGTGAGTAATGAAGGAACACAAAGCAGGAGAAAAAGTTTTTCAAATGTTTACAACATTTCACAGGACTCGACCAGATGGTTAAACGCACTCTGCTCAGGGGGGGGGGGGGGTCGATGACAAAAATCACCAATTTTTTTCAGGCAGGATCTTATCACAATTCTTTTTCATGTAGGTTTTCAAAACCATTTTCTGAACAGCACAAGCAAACCAACCCCCCTATTTTAAAAATATAGCCCAGTAAGGTAACAAAACCTAAAGGGAAAAATAACAGAGCATGTTGACAGTCGGGGGGGGGGGGGGGGGGGGGGGCTTGCTTATAATCAGTTCAAAAGGGTACATTGGTCTAAATGCACTTTCGGGCGTTTTCTTATGGGGTGGTTAAAAGGATTCGTGCCACGTTCCAACGTGTGCATCTTTGCAAATTTTGCAAATAACTGTTGATATTGTGTCGATTTTAGAGAACTCCAAATTTCATATTACCAATGTCAAATTCTTTTTAGGGACCAACTCCTCCATACCATCCATACAATTACATTGTCAAATAGGGAATGTGTTGTATATTGCGCATTGCATGCTGGGACGAGGATGTGAAAGGGAGAGAGGAAGAACTCCAAAGCTCTACTTACTCTTTGCCATTAGCGGTTAATTACTGTCCAAACGGATTTGGCTCATCAAACTTTAGATGCGCGCAAAAACCTTAGAACTGAAACTTATAGAATGTGCACCATAGCATGATAGTAATGATCTCTCCGTAAAGACAGATTGTAGAGACATTTTTATAATTCACAATTTAATATCAAATCACCCACAACTGACGCTGCTCATCACAAAATGGGCATAACAATGAAAATTCGTCAGACCATTTTTAAGAGCTGTCCCCAGTGTGAAATTCAAGTCCAGCAGTCAAGGGGACATTGATTTTGTTTTTCAAAACAGGGACAGTGTGCTATCTTGATGTCACACATCTGCTGTAACTTCAGGAGTCTCAAGTCACCCCGGCTCTTTGATTACCTTGATGCCCATTTCTCCCGTTACCTCCAACGCGCTTTTAAAAAAGCGCTATCAGCTTCCCTGCTGGTGGTTACCAGCTGCCAGCAGCCACGTGGTGCGTTTTGCTGAGAGCTCCCTACCTCCTACCTTCTGTTTATAAAACTGAAACTCTGCCACACTTCTGCACTGAGAAGCAGAGATGCCGGCACCACACCAGGTTAGCAAACAGCCCCGGGGGAATCGCCTCTCTCCACCTGCTCTACAGCAGATGGAAATAGGTGTGAGAATCATCAAGTCCCTTCCAATGTTTTAGCCAAAAACGCCCGATGAGGCAGAATCCCCCCGACAGGTGCAGTGTGGCTCCGAGATGTACACAGAGCACATGACGCTATGAGCTACGACTGCCCATTCAGAATGTGTTTCACTTCTCAGTGAACTAACAGATCTCCCCTGAAGTCCCACTATATTGCTAGCCTTCTTATACATGGTACACGACACTGAGCCGGTCTACTTGCTGAAGTGAGGGAAAGTCAACTGAAACAGATCCCCGAGTTCAAAATTCACTGCAAAGATTGCCTCATTTTGCAAACTTAATGACCATTTAAGTTAAATGATGTGATGCATTCCGGATATATAAAAAAAACATTGTTGAGGTAGCTGCACACCGATCCTCTTAATTTAACCTGAGAAAACAGCAATTACCTCTAAATGCTCATCTTTAGCGTGGCATCTTAGAAAGATAAACAATGTTCCCTGAGAAATACAAGTGTTCTTCCGAGTGTGAACTTTCCCCACCCACACGAGGCACAACCCATTTCCCTCTAGCTAAGCGTGGCTCAAGACACAAATGGTCTCTCTCTCTCTCCCTCTCCACCTCAAAGCCACAGAACTCAGAAGCCATGTGCACATCATATCAGAAAGTAAAGATTAAGCTCTTAAACCACAGAAACCTGCAAAATTCAAAGTTTAAAAATCTCAATTATAAACATCATATTTGATCATCAGTCAGAAACACAATTTGAAAAGGAAAAATAGCTCAGCTTGGCCTATAACTTTGCGTTATCTAAAGTTTTTATATGCTCATCAACCATGCATTGTATATTTAAAACATGAAAAGCAACACAAAGAGTATATCTATACAAAGCACCCAACCAGATCAGACATTTATAGCATCACTGTCAGTGTAATTTTACATATTCCACAAAAACTTGTATTCAAAGACTACAGTTAGTTATCGCTCCCTATTTTCCTACAACAGGCAAGGGATAAATCCACAACACTAAAAATAACCAATTACCAGCATCTAAGATTTTGCACTATAAGAAAAGGCTATAACTGCAATTCTGCTTTTACACCAGTAATGCCTTTAGTTTTAACGGTTATTGGAATATCACTGTACAACTTGGCATTTCAATTTGACACCAGTCTAACAGCCAGCTAAGAAAATACTTTGAGGGGAATAAGGGAAAACATAACATAACGAAACCCATTAAAATTCAATGCCAGAGCATAATACTAAAAGCTTGGAAAGAAGTGTCATTTAAATAAATGCATACTTAAGAGAAGAGCAGTGTGAGTGAGGAGAGAGCAGGCAGAAAGGCAGGCGTGGGCAGAGAGGTGCGTACCTGCAGAGAAGCACCACCACCGAGTCGGCCTTGGCCGGGATGAAGCCCAGCAGGAAGACGTTCCGGCAGCCACAGTTGTAGCACTCCAGCACCGTCTCCCCCAGTGGGCCGTCCTTGTGCAGCGTCACCTCTTTGCATTTGGCTCGGACCAAATGGTTCACGATGTGGCTGCAGGGAGAGAAATGTCTATCAGCACCCAGCAGGGCAAACGGGAAACCAAAGTAAGCAGGGAGAGTTGATTAAAACACGGACCTGCCGGATGTATTCCCACGTCCATTGCAGAACCACTTCTTACTGGTGTTACAGTAGACCACACATGCAGGGTCATGGATCCCACAATAGCTAAAATGACAAAATTTGACAGTCATGTTTACCAAAGTCATTTATTCTGTTCATATTACATGTACTGAAGGACATATAAATATAAAATTTGGGGGGAAAAAATATTCCAGATGTCACAAGGAATTTGGATGCATATTTATACATACATACCCATACAAACCACACACACCAACTTAAATGCCATTAAAAACATGCTATAAAAGTAGGACAGAATAATCAAGGTAATGACACTATAAGTAGTAAGGTATTAGATGAGCCCTTTCCTTTAGGACAGGCACTCTACCACACTGGCACTGTAAAGCGGCCCTCTAAAATGATTAATTTTCCACAACAGCCACACTCTGAGCACACTGGCACGGAAACGTGACCCTGCGATCTTCTGGCTAATACCTGCAGGCATGCACTGGGAGGTCTTTGGTGTAGTAAGTGTCCTCCTCATCCTCCTCGAAGTTCAACTCGGCCAGTAGCTGGCTGGTCTTGGCCACAGGGTCGTCCACCCCACCATTCTGCAAGATCCCGTCCGGACCATTCACCTGCGCAGGTCCCGGGGGCGATTAGTTCATTATTATAGTGCTGTATTATGTGATCGTGCTAGTGAGTGTTAATCTGTACAGACCCCGCCTCTCGGGAACCGCCACACTCTCAGAAAAGCCGGTCAGCGGCGACCAACACAGTAAATCTAGCGGTGCTGGCCACGAAAAACAAGTTGGGGTTATTAATAATAGGCGGAAGACAGGCACGCTATACCCCGCCAAGTCGGCTGTCTGACAGCCGTTTATATTTAGACGGTCCGCCGAACCCTTCCTGCACCTGGACGGTACCACCGATGTCCGACGAGCTATTCCTACACCTGGATAGTACCACCGAGGTCAGGCGGCAAACTTCAAGCGGTTTCACTTTTACACTCCGGCGCTCTAAACGCACCGAAATCGGCAAGGAAAATGAAAATCGGCCGCCTTTAGCGAGCGGTTCTCCTGGCAGCAAAGCGCGCCTGCCGTAGTTACCGGGAAGTACCGGTCTATTGCCCGTTAGCCGCCGTGTCAACCCTACTGATGAGCATCGGGCATTACAGGATAACCGGGTGGAACCGTGTGCGTGGCGGCCTGAGCGCTCGCTGCCGCGGGAAGTACACTGCACCGGGAAGGACACGCAGCGGGAGCGCGGCTAGCATGCCGGCTAACGGGCCTGCTGCTGCCGACGGCTCCACGTCTCTTCCCTGGAGCTCAGCTCCTCGATTCTGTACATAATTTTTAACCCAAAGACGTCTCTGTAAAAAGCAAATCGGGTCCCGAGTGTGAAGACGCAACCGAAGGCCCGGATAGAGTAGCCCCTCTGGTCGCCCCGGCTTCACTCTACACGTCCGGCGGACCCGGCCAGCCACCGTGCGGGCTGACGTCAAAGGCACATCCCCCCGCTCGTGGCCCCGTCAAAACGGCGGCACACACCTGGCCATCGAGCTGGCTCTGCGTCTGGCCCTGGGTCTGCGTTTGGCTCGGCAGGGTGAAGTCGGTGAACTCGAACTCCGAGCCCTGGGTGTCGGCTCCAAGTAGCTCCGCTTCCTCGGTGTCCAGGAAGGTTAGGGTCTGCGAGCTCGGCCCGTACGCCTCCACGCTCATGTCTTCGCGGCTGTCGCTGATTTTAAAGACTCTGTTTTGCGGATTAAAAACGAGCGGGAAGCACCAGCTGTCCGGTCAGCCTTGGCCGATACGAAGCAACCCGGTTCTGGTGGGATTTTTGACCCAAACAGGATCCGAAACGAACCCAGAAATTAAAGTGGAGAAAAAAACAGCTCGAGAGCTTCAACTCCCACACCAAACAGTGACGATGGCGCTAGCGCCGCACGACGTGCCTACGTAGAGCACATGACGCCATGACGTCCCGTACACGAGCGGCACAGTTCCCGCGAAGACGGGGCTCGTCGGATTTTCCCGTGCTTTCAAAAAAATCAAATTTCCCTGTAATCCTTGGGATTTCCTATGAATACTCTAATTCCTACCAAAATCCAATAACACACTCCAGCTGAATTTGTGCCTAAATAGTCCTTTATTGAGATTCTTTGAGTGTGCGTGCCCAGTGATGGATGGGCATATCAGTAAGGGTTTCTTCCGCCTCACTGTGATAAGCATGCACTTAAAATCCCAGTATGGGCAATGTTTGAGATGCCTGTAGATGTTTTTGACCCTCTGGAGTAAACCCATATAAACAGGCAGAACATGCAAACTCCACACGTACACAACCGAGGACACGAACGAAACCTGCAACACTGGAGGTGTGAGGCTGTGCTGCAAATTGCTGTGCCACCTCTTTAATTAACCATCTCTTTCACTATATTTCATGTAGTATTAATATTTAATATTTACTTTCTTATTAGAAGGCAAATGCCTCAAAACTGATCAGTTTGGTCTTTAATTGATGTGATATTTAGGCAGGAACTCCTTGTGCTGTGAGGTAATTTAATCAGCAGTCCAGTCCTACAAATAGCCACAGAACGTGTGTCTGGTAGTCAGTCTCCAGTAAAGGGCCCATTTTACTTGGCACATTTCCATCCTCGTTCCACAGCAAAGGCGGCAGTGAATCTCATAACCTCTCATGATTCTACTGGCAAGTGTGTGTGGGCTTTCCCACAGATATTCCTGTGACTGTGGAAGATGCAGACATGGCTTACTCAGTAGCCCATAACCAGCCATAGGGATGTTTGTGGAATATGACAATCAAAGAGCAAACAATTAAGACAACTTAAAAGAGTCATTTTAGGTACCCTCAGTAGCACAGAGAGCTTCCTGTCTTCTGTTTAGCTGAATGCTAGTGATTGTGGCTGTTTTATTTTCAGCACACAGCATGGCAAGCTGACTGCTGCAGTGATTTATAATTTGAGCACAGAAATCATGTGGGTGATGTAGTAGCTCATTGGGTCAGGTTTGATTCCTGGCTCTGCGTGCGGTTTGGATGCTCTCCCCACGTTTGTGTGGGTTTCCTTTCACAGTCCAAAACATTCAGTTTGGTTCAATGTTGTTTGTAAAGGCACGGTATAACATCAGAGTAGCAAGTCTGTTATTGATTTAAATTATCTTTCAGTTAAAGTAATTTAAAGGCTAAATGTGTAGTAATGTATGATGTGGGGAAGAATGATATTGGAATAAGGAATAAAATCAAAAGTCAATTGAAAATTACATTCTTTTATTCATTTGGAGAATTCGGAACAACTACTGGGCTCATGAAGCCCTTTTCACGGTCACAAGGTTATAAAGAGTCACGTTTCAGCCCAAAAGCCCAAATCTGTATGGGAAAATATATTTCCTGTATAGAGGAGTTTGGTAAAAATTTAGGTGTCATAATATATTATAGCAGGAAAAATAAAAACAAACTATTACATAAGAGGTAGGTATACATATTAATTTTGCAGAAACAGGATTTTGGAAACACCATTTAATGGGAATTATAGAGTAGATATGTGTTAGTTTTACTAATATACTTTTTATTAATTTTTTTAATCTGCTAGCCATTAAACAGCCCTTTCTAAAATTGAGACATATTTGTAGTTTTAAAAGGCACTGCTCATAAGATCTTCCATAACGTAACAAGAATCACATCAGAAAAATCAATCTATGATCAAATTTTCATGACACAACACTCACACCCAATATCATTTTGCAGTCATTGTTAAGAAGCTGACAACTCATTCAAAATGACTAAATGATCAGCTCATTACACTGAGTCTAGGGGCTGTTACTTCAAACCCAGAAAACCAAAGCTTTAGTCGAAATGCAGGTTTAATGCTATTTTGTTCAATTAGAATCTGTGCTCATATAAAGTAAAATTCAGCACACAGGGTAATGGTTAGAAGGCAGGCTTCTATGTCAGTGGGTGCACCTTGCAGCAGGGATCCACCCACGGAATGGGACTTTGAGACAGCTCAACAGTTCCTGTGTACTGCATTGTTCTCTGGAATTTTCTAACGGTTACAGCAAACATCCTCATCAGAAAATCAATATAACCTATCAAAAGCACAGACAAACAATAAAGGAACCTAAAATCAATTTTACTAATCTATCCAAATAACTGGAATAGTTGCCTATGTATACCCTAATAATTAGGTAAACATACTGAATTTAAGAATATTAAATTTAAACAAAAAAAAAATAATCAAAATTTATACAAAAATTCAAACAATGTTTTGGAAAAATGTCTTTAAAAAATGTAAGATAGCCAGTATGATATAGTGCTTCAGTAGTGCCATTGGAGAGATGAGCTTGACTCATTTGGGGCAGAACAACAGAGAGCCAAAACTCCGTTTCTGTTACTGTGAAGAGATTGTTTGCCGGTATGTTTAATTTATTTTCACTCACTCTATCACATTTATAAAATATATCTAAAATTTGGCTGAGGTTCAGCAGTTTATTGGGAATAAAGTCTACAAACTAATATTTCGAGAGATTGCAAATTCCCTCATAGCAAAACTACCAGGAAAGTACATCGGATTAAGAATTTATTTCCTTTTCACATGGCAGCAAACGTGCAGATCATGTTGCTTTAAAATCGGGTCTGTAAATGTTCTGGATACTTTTAAAATCTGTTCACAGTATCAGTTTGGTATGTACTGATGAGGTTTTGTGTCTTAGAATCTGTTCACAGTATCAGATTGGTATGTACTGATGGGGCTTTGTGTCTTAAAATCTGATGTGTCCCAGGTTACAATAATGGGGACCCACTAGGGTTAAGTATAAAACTGTTTAATAAAATCTTTGTTTCATAAATATACTGTATGTGGCTGCAGGTGAGCAGAGAGAAAGTCACAGGGTCAGCTTGAAAAAGTAGGAATTATTCTGTGTACGACTAACATATTCAAAACGGCATGTGTGAACTTTAAAAAAAACCTCCCTGATTTGAATAACCTTAGTAATTGAAGATACAGTTACCACTCCTTAGAAAGAGAAGAAAAAACAGGACAGTGGAACAGGTCAGACTTCCTCATGTAAAATACAGGCCAGAGATGCGGGCGACAGTGGCAGAGCGAAGAAGAGCCCATCCAGACCTGTCCCTTTGAGGTTTATGTCCTTCAGGCTCAGGCTGTGGGGCAAAGACTCTTCCCCATAACATCCTGAGTCTGCATCCACGAAACAAAACACGCCACATAAACCAAACCCAACACAAATGCAAACAGGCATTCAGTATTATAAAAGAAAACCTATGGAAAGAGATCAGCAGTCCAGCAGCATGTCTGTTTGGGAATTCAGTATCTGTAGTGATTAAGACTAAGAATCACATCGTGAAATTGAGGGAAAAAAAAAACAACTAAATTTAAAGGAAATAACATGACTGGGGACCCATTTATCAAATATATACTGTGAGCGTTATACGAAAGTTTCTGTGGGAATTCAAAATGAACATACATCTAATCATGCAAATTCACATTACTTGCTGGTAGATAAGTGGATTTACACTGCAGATAGAACTAAGTCACCAAAAACATAGGAGCACATTTTTGAAACTATGAAATTATAGAAACTATACACATCAATCAGTTAACCTTGAAATTACTTCCATCATTCATTCCTTAAAACCATGTTGGTGCAATTCTGGCCTGGAAAAAAAATCACAGAAATACACACAGACATTGGAATACTGGGGCCTCTGAGGAAGGGTTATGAAATGGCAGAACTAAAGCTGAGATGTAGTGAAAAGGACAAACAAGTCTGTCTGTAGGATGACTCACTATGGCACGGTGGTGCCTTATCGCACTCCAGCCAACATAGTGTCAGATTCCTGATCTCTCACTCTGGCCCTATCTAACCCTACAGTATGACGATGACAATGATAATGAACCCTCTCACTCTAACTGTATAACCTGTCGTTACAGCAAGTTGATAAGCACATTTGGGCCAGACATCATATTGGAAAAATAATCTCACTTCTGTCCTCCACTTTTCTGGATGCGTTCCTGAACACGCAGACGCACAGCCAAAGGGAAAACATCTGTATGGCAGAAGTTGGGAGCAAACGAAGGAGCTGGCTTCAGAGAGGTCGTCTGGTCGTCATGGGGCTGACCACGCTCCGCTGCCATCCCAGGAAGAGGCTGGCTTCTGCTGTTCCAGACTGGCGTCCTACGAGTGAGCGTGTTGACAGTGGATCTTCTCTTCAGCCTGCACCAACAGCTGCAGCATTTCCTGCACTATGGCCTGCAGAGCCCTGCCCAGCGCCTCCGCGCCGTACGGTTTGTCGAGGGGGGGCACATGCACAAAGGCGGAGCGTCCCCGGCTCAGGTACAGCGAGGTGTAGTAGGTGTAGTCACATAGGTACCTGCCAAGGCGCAGAGGTATGAGCTCAGTATAAATACCTGAATGCTGTTCTTGTATAACAGTATATTATAGGTGCTACGAATTACAAGGAAACACTCCTACAACATGTGAAAACATCAGTGTCGATTCAGCACTAACAAACGGGAGAAGGATTTTTCATATACATCCGTGTAATGTGTAGTCAGGCACCGACTGCAGGCCTCCTGCCATGCTGGATGTTTCTGTCTATTCCCTAATCAAAGTCCCATCATATGAAATTTTAGGCCAAGCTGAAGCAGGCCCACCAGTCATCGGGTAAAATATTAAAGAAAAGTGACAGT